AGGATTGGCAGATGTTAGCACAGGGCTGATCTTCCTCACACACACACACACAAAAAAAGCTAAAAAAAAAAAAATAATAAAGTCATTTATTGAGGGCTTACCACTTTGACAAGGGCCTTAAATGCATTATCTCATTTAATTCTCATAACCCTGTGGGTTGTTTTATTATCCCCTGAGTACTATTATCATCTGCATTTGTAGGTAAGGAAACAGGCACAGAGAGGTTAAGTAACTTGCCCAGAGTCACTAAGCAGTAAGGGACAAGGCCAGACTTCAGTCCCAGTCAGCCTAACCCCTGACCCCTATGCTGTGGTCCCACTGGGGGTCCTTGGCATATAAAGGAGTACATGGTACACAGTAAGTGCTTAACCAAGGTTTGCTGATTGTTGAGGTCTTCTGACTCAGCCTTTCTGCCCCTAAGTAGAACCACTTCTACATCCCCCGAGCTCCTGTCTTACCTCTTTGGCCTCCCTGCCCCCACTCAAGGTCTTCTTTTGCTCTTTAGCCAAAGTGAGTGACCTCAGGCCAAGCTGCCTGGGGCTGAGTACAAGAGCCCTAGGGCCACAGACCTTCCTGCAGCCACATCTGGCACACCGTGGCCATTGGTGGCCTGACCTCGCAGGGCACCAGTGCACGGACTGCTGCTATAGGACCTGCTGTGAGTGTCCAGGGCCAACTCCGGGACGTGTTGAGGTGCAGGGGGCTGGCTGCTGGCTTGGTCCGGGGTTCCCAGGGCTGTAGGGGAGGAGGAGGAAGCCGGATGCTTCCCATCTGTGTTGTAATTTTCCTAAAGCGGTGATTCTCAGCTGGGGGTGATTTTGTCCTCCAAGGGACATTTGGCAATGTCTGGGGGGATTTTCGGTTGTCCCATCTGAGGGATGCTACTAGCATCTAGAGGGTAGAGGCCAGAGATGCTACTCAATACCCTACACTGCCCAGGACAGCACCTCCAACAAAGGATTATCCGCTCCAAAGGTCAGCAGCTCAGGGAGTGAGAGGCCCTGCCCAGAGCAGCTCAGAGGAAGTCTCAGCCCGACTTTTAAAGGCCTGGCTTGAGAGCATGGATCTAGAAAGGTATGCCCAGGTGCCGAGAAGGAAACCACTCTCCTGGATTTGGAACTGTGGTGTCTCTCAGCCCTAGACAACAACCACCTGCCTCCCCAGGGGTGGGGGACAGCCCTGCACACCCAGCAGTGACCCATGGTCGGTACTCGGTCAAGTGTGCAGGCATGGACAGGCCGACAGAGGCTGGGTGGACGGCCTGCTCCCTGCTGTGGGTGCCGGCAGGAGCCCAGAACCATGCATGTCAGTGCCTAGCCGGGTGTGGACACCCCCTTTCTCCAAATCCCTGCAGCCCCCTGGCCGGTCTCCTGAGAGGCCAGAGAGCGATCAACTTCCAGTTCTCACTCCCTGGCAGTGTGCTCTGTCCTGCTCCCACCTTGCTTTTCTGGGGAATGTCTCCCCAGGGGCACAGCCTTCCAGAGACCCCTCAGCTCACAGACACACATGTTCCTCACACGGACACATCAAACCACATCTCATCTGTTCGTCCCCCCAACCCCCACCCCACGGATCCCAGTCCACTGTCCTTTGTCCCAGTGAGGGGCTGGAGTGCACAAAGCCCCGAACCTGTGCTGGGTGCCTAGTGCTGGCGGTGACTTAGAAAGGTTGTGGGTCCAGGCCAACCCTCAAACCCCCGTCCATGTTCAAGGCAGACCACACTCGTGCCCTCGCCAACGGGAGGACCCAGGCTTGTTCTGAGAACCTCCAGGGAGGGAAGCCTCCATCACTCGGACTCCTGTCAGCAGTTGTGTCTTAGGTCTGACTTACAACCCTCATGCTGCAGCCTAAGCTCATTTCTGCCTGTCCCTCAGGAAGGAGCTAGGGACAAGTGGCCACCGTGATGGGAAAGCCTTCATGAGCAGGAGGCACGAGCCCAGAGGGCCCTTCCTCCTTCCTTCCCTGAGGCATTCGCGATACCTGGGAGTCATCTTAGCTTCTCTGAGTCAATCTTCCCATGTGCCCAATGGGAAAGGATGTTACTGTCACAGGGCACGTAAGAAGCAAAAACTCTGCCTGCCAAGAAATGTCACCATTAGGGCTCCCTTCATGGTTTCCTTTTTTACCAGAAAAATATGTGCATTTGAGACTGTCACAGAGGCCAGATGTCGGCTCTCCTACCGCTCCTGGACCCAGGCAAGTTCAATTCTCTACCTTTTCATATGGCACACAAACTCAAGAATAAACCATCACAGAAATGTTAAACAGAACAACTGCTAAAAAAAAAAGGAAAGGAAAGGAAGGAGAAAGGAAGAGAGAGAGGGAGGAAGGGAAAGAGGGAGGAAGGAAGGGAGAGAGGGAAGGAAGAATCATCACTAGAGAAGGGGTTAACAGGAATATTGCACCTTAGGGAGAAGAAGTCCGGGGAGCAGGACCTCAGGAGAGACTGGGGCAAGAGAGGGTAGAGGTGGAAAGAAGCTCTGGGAAGATGGAGGCAGAGAGACCCCGCCCCTGCCCAGGGCTGGAGCACCTGTCTCTGCTGGGGCCAGGGTGTGGGTTGCTATGGCACTGGGGGCAGGGGAAAGTCTGGGCTTGTCGTTCAAGATGCTGCTTTTTCAGGGGGGTGTCTGCCTCCTAGTGTGGCCCGCCTAGACACACCCAGAGGAGTGTCAGCTCGGGCATACCATAAGCCCCTCTGAAGCCCCCTGGAAAATGACCTGGCTTGCAACCTCTGACTCACAGGTGCTAAGCCCTTGGAGGACGAGGGCTCAGCTGGTTCAGGGTAGAATCCTCAGCTGAGGCTGAGCTGGTGTCTTGATATTTTGTTCCCTCATGCTGTCCCCAGCCCAACCCTGTAGGTGGGAAGGCCAGGCAGGGCCTGCGTCCCTGACTCACATTCCCCAATGGACACCTGCCAGGCCAGGCTCCCTACCCTGAGAAGAGTGGCCCCCACGGGTGGCCCCGGCCTGACCTACCTTGCTCTGCGGTGGAGGGCCTGGCTTGCTGCTCGGAGGGGCTGTGGCAGGAGTAGACAGGAACATGCTTCGGAACAGCCTGCGCTTTAGGCTGTTCTCCTGGGTCTTGGGGCTGGGGCTGCCCTCCCCGCCTGGCCTGCCTGCAGCTGAGCCCAGCAAGCAGGACTGCGGCCGGGCCTCCTCAGAGCCGTGCCTGGCAGCCTTGGCCCCACGCCTACCAGTGGCTGTGGGGGGTGAGGCGCCGGGTGGGGAACTCTGCAGACAGGCGGCCAGCTGCAGGCAGCGCTGTGTGGCACCCTGGAACTCGGTGGGGCCCAGGGACTGTGCCTTGGTGGCCAGCCCATTGGGCAGGACCCGTGGGCTCTGCGGCTCGGTCCACGGCGTCTGCCTGCGGCCTGCTGGTGTGCCCCCGTTGCAGCTGAGGTAGAGGCCGTGGGGGTCAGTGTGCTCAGACTGGGGGCTCTGCAGGTACATGTCCGGGTCGGTGGCCCAGTGCTCATCCCCCAGCAGCCCCAGGGACTGTGCCCGCCGCCGGCTGGTGGGACTGCGGCCACGCAGGGTGTTGGAGCTGATGACCGACAACTTCTGGATGTCATTGAGCAGCCCCGAGATGTAGCCGTCCACGGGCACGGAGCTGCCCCGCACCACTGTCTGGAGGGAGGGGAGAAGAGTGTGGGTGAGCAGCCTGTTCATGGCAGGGATAGGCGGCTGACACCAGGTCAGAGAGCCTCCCTGGGGGGCCTTGGGGAGGAATACCCAAGGACCTCACTTGCTGTGTCATCCATCTATTCCTTAATTTTTCAGTCACGTACCAGGGCCCACAGTGGGTCAGGCCTGTGCTGGGGCAGGGATACAGGGAGCAGGCCCATTTTCATGGGGGTCGCAGTCCAGCAGGGCACGCAGGTGAACAACCATGGGGTTACAATCCAGCACGCCAAGTGGTGCGGGCAGCTGTGCTTGGGAAGCTGCGAGGGCGTGGAGGGAACTCCAGACCCCGCCTGGGGCCTGCTGCCATTCTCTAGTTCCATCTGGGGGCTGCTGGGAGGCTGCAGAGCTCTCCAAGGTGGCAGGGACCAGTCCAGGGGTCCACACACACTGGCTTCGGGGCCCCCAGTCCCTGACACGGCTGCTGACCCCCGCCTCTACCAGGCTCTTGGATCTACCCTTCCTGACCCACACAAGTAAAGCCTCCCGGTCTGGGAGAGCCCCGAGCCCCACAGGGGCTGCAGGTCCAACTATTACATGAGGCACACTTAATACTAAAAGATTATTCATTGTTATCTGAAATTCAAATTTTACTGGGCATCTTGTGTTTTTATTTGTTAAATCTGGCAACCCTACCACCCTGGAGAGAGGGACTCCCCAGGCTCCTCCTCCCAGGGTCACCCAGGGAGAAAACGAGAGGCTGATTAGCAGGAATGTAAACAGCCGGCTAATTAATAGCCGGTAATTAGGTGGTTCCTCCAGGTGCCTTTGTGGTTTTGCCAGGCACGGTCTTCTGCGGTGTGGGAGGGGCTGAACTGGGCCCCGCCATCCCGCCGCCCACCTTACCTTCATGGGCTGCAGTTGCACCCGCGTGATGCGGGAAGGGTCCACCACGGGCTTCGGTCTCCGCAGTGTGTCCAGGATGTTCTGCCATTGTGGGGGGAGACCCACAAACTTGCCTTCCTTGGGGTCAAAGGAGGTATGGACGCGGTGCTGGAAGTTCTGTGGGGCCGAGATCTCAGGGCGTTTCTTCTTTTTCTTGCGGAACATGATGCCTGTGGGGAGGGTCAGGCTGAGCCCCAGTGGGGGCTTCATAGGATCCTGGCCCCCTGGGAAGCATGGGGTAGCTGCAGTGGGTGCTGGGGCCCCAGGCTCCGGGCTCCCTCCCAGCAGCATAGTTCCCCTGTCCCGGGCCCAGGGCTTCCCCTCACCTCCCATCCCTACCTCCTTGGGGAAATGGCTAGCTCCCAGCAGAGTCATCCCAGAAACAACAAAAGCACCATAAATAAGCCAACACAGACTACAAACAAGAAAAAGAGGTGTCTCTCTTCCTGTCTGTGCCAAGTCCCTGGTGGAGCAGGCGGACTCTGGGCATGTGTTTTTGTAAGATCCAAAGCCCATTACAAATATCATTCCATGATTAAAGAATTTATAGGGCCGACCCCATGGCTTAGCAGTTGATTGCTCGCGCTCCGCTGCTGGCAGCGCGGGTTCGGATCCCGGTCGCGCACTGACACGCCGCTTCTCCGGCCATGCTGAGGCTGCGTCCCACATACAGCAACTAGAAGGATGTGCAGCTATGACATACAACTATCTACTGGGGCTTTGGGGGAAAAATAAATAAATAAAATTAAAAAAAAATAAAAGCAAAAACAGCATTTTAAAAAAAAAGAGAATTTATAGAAGAGGAAAGAAGGAGGAAAGCAGGCGACTCATGAAGTATGACCTTGACCCTTAAACCAGATAAGAATAGTACAGAAAAGGAAAATTTGAACCAATCTCACTTGTGAACATAGTGTGAAAATCCTAAACAAAACTAGCAAATTGAATCCAGTAGTATGTTAAAGTTTTTTTGTTTATTTTTTGTTTTTTATCACAATCAATTTGGGTTTGTCCCAGGATGGTTCAACAACAGAAAACCTGTTAAAGAGATATACAGCCATGTACTGCATAACGACATTTCGGGCAGTGATGGACCGCCTATACGACAGTGGTCCCATAAGATTAGTACCATATGTCCTAGGTGTGTAGGAGGCTATCCCATCTCAGTTTGTGTAAGTACACTTTGTGATGTTCACACAACAACGAAATAGCCCAACAATGCATTTCTCAGAATGTATCCCTGTCGTTAAGTGATGCATGACTGTACAACATTCATAAAAAGCCAACATATTGCCCACTCTGGGACCATTATCACAGGATCAGGAACTCTGAAAGGGCTCTCATGGTCACAGGTGCTCAGCCCTAATTCTAGAAAGCTCTGAGCCAAGGGCACAGCTGGGGTGGGTGAGGGGCGACTATCTTAGCGGTAAAGCTCTCCAGGGAAGAGAAAGCCCACCTCCCCTTGGACCCCTTTCTCTCAGGTCTCAGAACTCTGACTGTACAAAACATCACTGGTAGTCAAACCTCCATCCCTTGCCTTGCTGATTTGGCATTTGCCTAAGGCCCTGCTGAGCTCCATCAACCCTAGGAGTGACGTGGGCATGCAGACTTGAGAGAGGGAGACTGGAAGCCCAGGAGGTAAAGTGGCTCTTCCCAAGTGCTGCCCCAGCCTCACCTTCAGGGAGTCCCTGGTGGGGACCACGAGTTGATGAAAGACAGGGTTGGGGAGCCCACTTGAATGGTTTTGTATCTGAAGTCGCTCAAAATAGCTCAATGGATTTTTTTTTTAAGTTTTTCTTCATTGTGGTGAAATATACTCAATGGGTTCTTATGTCACCTGGAAAGGTCACATGTAGGTTTCAAGTTTGTTTCTTGAATTGAATGCTTGGATCACTCATCTCTCCAGAGATCTGGAGTACCGGGCCAGGGCATTCTCTTTTGGCTCCTGCTCTGGAAACAGCATTTTCCCGGTCACGTTAGCAGGCTCTGGAGTAGGTCACAGATCTGTGAGGCAGCTGGTGCCCACTCAGAAAGGCAGGGGCTGGAACAGCCACAGCTTCCCACTAGGAATTTACTGTGTGTGAATCAATCTGAATCCATGTCATACCTCTTGGAATGCCAGCCACTTTTTGGGACCTCGAGGTTGGAGAGTGTACCAAACACTCCCTACAGGTGAAGCCATGTGGGCGGGACCCCCAAGGACCAAGGACTTTGGGAAGAAATACACCTGTTAGAGTTGCGGGTGAGTTGTAGTTGTCTCCCACTAAGTCGGGGAGACTTTGAGCAAGTTACGCAACTGATTTGAGCCTCACTGTTCTTCATCCATAACGTGGGGTTAATAAAAGATATCTCACGGGGTTTAGGGAGTATGAAGTGAGCAGATTCCCAGTAAATGGGGGCAGTTTCTCTTGCTGTGTTACCTCTCTGTGCATCCCCATCTCTAAGCTCAGGGCCCTACAGATATTGGAACGTGGGCAGATACAAGCCTGGGGGTGATGCTGAACTCCTTCCCTCCCAGATTCACCTGTCAAGGGGCCCTGCCTGCTTGCTGGGAGCCTTGCCACCTCTCCATAGGTAACCTCCTGACAGTTTGGTAAAACTTGACCTCCTCCCTCTCAGCCTTTGGCTACAGAAGAGTCTCCATTCTCTAGTTCTGTCCTAATGGCCTCTCAGAGCCTCTATCCCTGAGTAGCTTAGCTGACGGTTTTACCCTCCTCCCTCGCACTGTGAACTCCTCTGGAGGTGCGGGGACACACCCTGGAGTTGAAGAAGAGCTGGCTCATACTTTTTCCGCTCAGAACATCCCTCTCCCCAACCCCCCGGCCCCCCAAGGGCCCAGCTTTTGCTGCAGGAATGCACGAGCACAGCATCTTCAGCAAATGCTCTAAGTGACTCTGGGATGCCCCTCCTGAGTCCACCCAACAGCGATTCCAGAACAAGTTCTTCCCAGAGGCAGCAGGAAAGGCTTGAGGACAAAGAGGGACGGCCCGGAGTCCTAGGGTCCAGGAGTTACGGTGGTGAGGGTGGGGAGCTGGCAGAAGCAATGAATTGCACTGGGGTGTTGGGGAGGGGGAGTAGAGATTTAGAAATCAGAGCTGGTCACTCAGCTGGTGGGAAATGCATGCCTAAAGGGAGGCTGCTAGGACACATCCAAAATGCGGTGAGGCTAACACTGCCTGGGACAACATGATTGTCTACATAGAAAATTCAGAACAATCTACATACAAGCTATTGGGATTAGGTAAGTGAATTTAGAAGGTCCCAATTCAAGGTCAATATAAATAAATTGTATTTCTATATAGCAGCAACAAATAGAAAATGAAATTTTTAAAAGATTCTGTAGGGGCCGGCCCGGTGGCATAACGGTTAAGTACGCATGCTCCGTTGCGGTGGCCCGGGGTTCGCACCAACACACCGCTTGTCAGGCTGTCCTGTGGCGGCGTCCCATATAAAGTAGAGGAAGATGGGCATGGATGTTAGCCCACGGCCAGTCTTCCTCAGCAAAAAGAGGAGGATTGCCATTGGATGTTAGCTCAGGGCTAATCTCCCTCACGAAAAAAAAAAAAAAAGATTCTGTGGTACAATGGGAAATAGATGTTTGGTCTTTGTCCCCTGTTCCTGGCACACAGCTCCTAAAACATTTGGAATCCCCAGAGTGACAAGAACATTGGAACTTTCAGCCTCCCCTGTCCCCACCTCTGGGGAGGGGAGAGGGGCTGGAGATTGAGTTCAATGCCAATGGCCAATGATTTAATCAATCATGCCTACGTAATGAAACCTCCATAAAAACTCCTAAATGACAGTGTTCAGAGAGCTTCCAAGTTGGTGAACACATCAAGGTGCTAGGAGGCAGAGGCACCTGGAGAGGGCATGGAAGCTCCGAGCCCCCTCCCACATGCCTTGCCCCATGCATCTCTTCCATATGGCTGTTCCTAAGATATATCCTTATACAATGAACCGGTAATAGTAAGTCAAGTGCCTTCCTGAGTTCCATGAGCCATTATAGCAACTTATCAAACCTGAGGCGGGATCATGGGAACCCTTGATTTATAGCCAGTTGGTCAGAAGTATGAGTGGTCCAGGACTTGCGACTGGCATCTGAAGCAGGGGGCGGCTTGGGGGACAGACCCTGTGGGGTCAGGTAGTTAGTGTCAGAATTGAATCGAATTGACACCTAGTTGATCTCCGAGTTGGAGAAATGGTCTCAGAGGGAAAAAACCTGCTCATTTTATGTCAGAAGTGTTATCAAAGAAAAAAACCCTCAGGTACCATTTACCATTTTATATTAAAAATATCAAATCCCTAGGAATAAATCTAATCAAAGATGTGCAAGTTCTCTACATTGAAAAGTGTAAAACATAACTAGAGATATTAGGGCCGGCCCCGTGGCTTAGTGGTTAAGTGCGTGCGCTCCCCTGCTGGCGGCCTGGGGTTCAGATCCCGGGCACGCACCGACGCACCACTTCTCCAGCCATGCTGAGGCCACGTCCCACATACAGCAACTAGAAGAATGTGCAGCTATGACATACAACTATCTACTGGGGCTTTGGGGGAAAAATAAATAAATAAATAAAATTATTTAAAAAAAGATATTAAAGAATGTTCATAGATTGGAAGACTCAATATTGTAAAGATATCAATTATTTCCAGTTAACCTACAGATTTATTTCAATCTCAGTCAAAATCCCAGCATATTTCTTTTGGTAGAAATTGACAAACAGATTCTAGAATATATAGAGAAACATAAAAAACCAGGAATAGCCGAGACAATCTTGAGGAGCAAAGTCAGAGGATTACACTACTAGATATCATGACTTACTATAAAGTTACCATAATTAATATAGTCTGGAACTGGCACAAAGATTGATGAATAGACCAATGGAACAGAAGAGAGAATCCAGAAATAGACCCAGTCATATAAGGGCACTTAATTTATGACAAAGGTGACACTGCAATATGGTGGGGAACAGAGGATCTTTTCCATAAATATAGTTGAAGCAATTAGATATCCATATGAAAAAAGAGAAGAATCCTGAAGAACGAATTCATGTCATGGCCCAAAATTAATCAGATCTAAATGTGAAAGGTAAAATAATAAAGCTGGTGGGAGTGATGGGGGGGCAGGAGAGAAACCCAGTCTGGCCACGTCCTACCTTAGGTCTGGTGTGAGTGA